TAAATGTAGATATGCTTGGAAGAAAGTATGATGGTAGGTGAACGTCATCTAGCAGATGCGGGTTATAAACCTTCCCACATCGACGAGGAAGGTGGTAACAAACTTTCGAAAAATGAAGATGACGAAATCCAGGATGAGTCCAAGTTGGCTATTGAGGAATCGAAGTTAGCTATCGAGCAACAATTGGCTCCTTGGATTACGACGCGAAACTTTCTCAATGCAACGCAGGTATTTCTGATATTAGTGATACTCTCGTTAGACTTTGGATCGGGATTCTGATTTTTATTGTTTTTAAAGACGAACGCAATGCTCAAATTACATGGCGAAGGTGATCCTACAGGAAGAGGCGAAGGTTTTAGTTTTATTAGAATTTCTATGAAAGATATATTTTTAAAGGCAGGAGAAAATGCACAAGAAAAACTTGGTAAAATATGCATAATGCTTTGGTGTAGACTTGTGGTCTTTGTTATTGATTTTAAAAAATGACTTCCATAACTTTATCATTTGTAGCGGAAATTGAAAACAAGCCAAAAAGCGGTCATAAATATAATGTGATGGAACAATGGAAAAGATATAATCAAGAGGTAATTTCGGCACACATTTTTGTATTTTAAAGCGAATACTAAATAGCACTTTAAATTAATAGATTTATCGAATATGGAATGCTCAGTACGCATCACTCAGCATGCGAGATGAACTTGCATCAGGCTCGGAAAAACTCGATGCAAATCGCATCGATGATTCTGAACAGTATACAAGAGGACAATTTTCGCATAATGAAGACACTCAGGTAGTCATTGTCATCCATATTTTAGCAATGCATCATTCGGTTTTACGTTTTTTATAAACAGTGAATTTGAATGTAATTGTAGGTGGATAGTGAAACGGAAATGCAGGAAATGCAGGAAATGATCGATTCAGCGATGCCTGATCGTTCACCTTCTGCGGATTTTGATGATGTAGCCTCTATTGATGGCAGCGTGGGTTCTCGAGCAAATTACGATTGTGGTTCTCATCGAAATCGCGCATTAGTCATCAACCGAATGGTGAGTAAGATGGATAATGGATAATCGTGATTAATAAAAGTAATAATTTTACTAAATATCCTTTGTAGGTTCGCACGGAAAACGGTGAACCCGTGTGGACAAAAACACTCGTTACTGATCCTTCGGTGATTAACGCTTATGTTCGTCATAGGCAATTAATCGAAGAGCAGGCGATGAGGTGCTTGATATTTGTAATGCGTACAATTTCTCGCGGCTTAAACGATTATTCAATTTCTAAATATTCCTTCATTAGTGCCGAACTATTGGAGCCAACTAACGACGAAGAAAAAAACAAGAGATTGAAAAAAAGGCATATAATAT